GCACATTGTTGCAAACGCGTTCTGGGTTTGCAACTTTGTTGTCCACGAAAATCTCACATTGTTGCACCACGTCCCGTTTTGCAACAATGTGCCATTTTCGGGAGCGACTTTCTACTACAAAGTTGCAAAAGAATAATCGCGTTTGCAACTTTGTTGCCGAAAGCAGCTCCCGAAAATTGCACATTGTTGCACGACTCCCCGTTTTGCAACAATGTGCGATTTCGGGAGCGACTTTCGGCAACAAAGTTGCAAACGCGATTATTCTTTTGCAACTTTGTAGTAGAAAGTCGCTCCCGAAATCGCACATTGTTGCAAAACGGGGCGTCGTGCAACAATGTGCGATTTTCGGGAGCGACTTTCGGCAACAAAGTTGCAAACCCAGAACGCGTTTGCAACAATGTGCAATTTTCGGGAGCGACTTTCTACTACAAAGTTGCAAAAGGATAATCGCGTTTGCAACTTTGTTGCCGAAAGCAGCTCCCGAAAACTGCACATTGTTGCGAAACGGGGCGTCGTGCAACAATGTGCGATTTTCGTAGGCAACAAAGTTGCAAACCCAGAACGCGTTTGCAACAATGTGCAATTTTCGGGAGCGACTTTCGGCAACAAAGTTGCAATCCCCGATAACACGCGTTTGCAACATTCTGCAAACGCGTTATTTTTGAAACGCACGTATTTTCATTTGTAACGCTGTACGGCATGCAGTACTTTGTACGCAAAACATTGCCACAAGCATTTACTTGAACACTTGTGTTCAAATGAAAAAGTGCTGAGCTACATTTTCAACATATGGATAATGCAGCTTGTACGAAAGCATCTGTATAGAAAATATATGCATTAACCGTGTTCCTTATTGAAATAAGTTTACTACTAAGTAGAAATTTCATCTCATTCGAAATGAAATATACTTACAATACAATTGAAACCTCCCAAAGTGTGTTCTCTTCTCTCAAATAAAGTTACCAATCGAATTCTCAGAACCCTCCACCGATTAACCAGCAAAAACGACACACAGAAATAATAATATCGAAGTTTTAAAACAATACCGTTCACAATTCTTACCTACCTCTCGGACAATATCTTAAAGCAATTTACGAGCACTCAGTTTCCACGTCCATTCGATTTAACCTCGTGAGCAACCGGGAATCGATCGCGGGCACCCTAGACTATATAGATTAGTAATTTTTCCTATTTAGCTTAGTTTACGAGATGGTGGATTAATTGTGACAGGGTCTGGGAAGTCGTACACAATGATGGGAAGCGGCGAGAACAAGGGCATCATACCACGGCTGTGCGACAACCTCTTCGACATGATCGCGAAGCAGCAGAGCTCGGAGCTCACCTACAAAGTTGAAGTCTCCTACATGGAGATCTACAACGAGAAGGTGCACGACCTGCTGGACCCGAAACCGAACAAACAATCGTTGAAAGTCAGGGAACACAATGTCTTGGGCCCGTACGTGGATGGACTTAGTCAGCTCGCCGTCACATCCTTCCAGGTAGGAACAAATTCTTAATTGGGTACTTATTTAGAATTTTCTTATTGGCACCACTTTGTGCGCCGTTAACCCTTTGACTGCTGTAGACGATCGGTGATAATTGAACGCTGGATACTGTTAGCCGTTCTTCGTATTTATGTCCTGTATTTTATATTTATGTATTGTTTGTTTGACTAATATAAAATACAAAATATTCACCCAAATTAGTATTACATGGTATGACTATTAATGCCATAACTCAGTTGTATGCAGGGAGTGTTTCACTTTCGAGTTTTCTGCAATCAAAGGGTTAAGGGGTGAGTGGATGTTTGAAATATGTTGAAGAATTACTGATAAAGGAAGTTCAGAATTTAAGTCGTCAACCTTCATTTTTTGAAGAAAATATTTTTCGAAAATTTTATACGCAAAATTTTGCTTTGATGTACATTTTACTTTATATAGGAGATCAAAAAAGGCAGAACTTAGAATTCCAATTCTTTTTTAATAACTTACACGATTTCGTAAATATTCCTGATACGAAAATTTGCAATTGTTTTGAGAGGGTGTTCTCACCCCTAGGACAATTTCGTTGCCGAAACAAAAAATAGTTTCGTTATTAACGTTGCTCGAGTTACATTTCTGCAAAGTTTCAAATTTTTTTGATCTTTCGGGTTACTGAACTACCCTTGTGAGTCTATAAGTCGTTGAAACGTAAAATCATTGAATCACAGGCGTCTGAAATTATTGGAGCATTCAATCAGTGAACCTTTTGATGTTGAAGCTATCGGTTAAACCATTGAACTCGAGAATTTTAGAATTACTGGGCTATTGAACCGCTGATTCATTAGATAATTAATCTATAGAATCTTCGAATAAGTAAGTCACTGACCTATTGAATTCTAACATTTTCGTACAATAGAATCATTGAATCGTTAAATTTTACGATAACTGAAAAATTAAATAGTCGAACTTTAGAATAACTAAATAATTAAATGGTTCAATCTTAAAATGATTATTCTCTACCAGAGTTACTGAATTGGATTATCTAGTAAACGAATCATTGTGAGTCATCGAATCACTGAGTTAATAAATCACTGAAAATGTGGAACGAAAAAAAATATTCTGTTTGTTCTAACTTTCACTGCGTGAAATGCTTCAATGATTATCTTCAAATAATTCTACGCAAATGTGTCTTATTTAATCGCGCCTCTTTTTATCTAGAATTCTTTTTGGTCATCATTTATCAATGGATAGAGACACATCCAATATACTTGTACACTTTCCACACAGAGAAGCGAATCACTTCGCCTTTATTTATCGCTTGTTTCGACTAGCAACTGGCTCAGATCCAAAGTGAAACTGTTATGATCAATATCGGTCATTGCAGCGCTTCGGCAATTTAATTTCTTGTAATAATGCAACATTGTCTATGATCGAACTGCACCACTGACAATTTTATACCTACAGAAAATAAGCTACTAAAGCCTAAAATTTTGACTTTTACTTTTTCTCTTTCAAGCAGAAAATTTGTTAAAAGTGATCATATTTCAATTCAGATTTTCTGTTTAATTATTACGTTTCACTTTGGAATATTTTGCGTTTTGATAATGACATTTACTAACAAACGTTTCGTGTCCAATTTTCCCCCTTTAAAATCCAGCTTCTGTTTCCTTTCGCAGCAATGTCGATCCCTCGAAGATTTATAACGTAAAATGTAAACAGAGCATCCACAGACTTCGTAATTGTAAATATGTCAAACGCGTGATTCGTTCTACGATTGGAAATTAAAAGAGCACGATATTCTACTTGACATTTATGTTAATTAGAAACCATACAGAAACTTCGTGTGTTCCTACAATTGTACGTCGTCCAATTTTCCATTCGTTATCACCGTGATTCGGTAGTTCTGTGATTTTCATTGCAAAATTGCTTTCAGGTCGTTCAAAAGTTTTTCGTAACTTAATTTAAATGACAGAATGGACAGTTGTCAAATTTGTACTCTCAATGAAAATAATTTCATCTAATCAAAATTAAATTTTAATTTCTGTATAATATTTTAAATAATTTTAAATATCGTAAGCAAACTTATCAGTTCATCAATGTCTCTGATGTTTGTTAGAAAAATATTCGCTTCTAAATAATATCTCGCCAAATTTCATAAGCAAACTTATCATTTCATCAATGAGAAATAATTTTCTCTGATGTTTGTTAGAAAAATACTCGCTTCTAAATAATATCTCGCCAAATTTCATAAGCAAATTTATCATTTCTTCTAATATTTATTAAAAATACATTCTCTTCTAAATAACATTTCACATAATTCCATTTTCACGAATTACCACAAGCAAACTTATCGTCTAATCTTTCACCAATGCAAAACAGTTCCTCCTGACATTTTACCAAAAGATGTTTACCTCTAAATAAAATAACAATTATATATCTGTCTCGCAACTTCATCAAGTTGATTGAACTGTCACGATCATGATCGATCGAATGACTTTTACTGATCGCTCGACCGACGTACGAACATTAAACGGACGAAGGTAATGATACACGATCCTTTCAGAAAGTAAAATCAGGTCGTTTTACATGTAGCGAAGGTAGTGGTTACCTCCTTTATGCAACAAACACGTTTCGTGCATACCAGTAACGCGTGATAAGTTACAATTTGCTTCATCGACTGTGAACTAGGATACACTGGAGCTTTTTTGGCTCCATTGTACTCTTAAGAACATTTTTATCGTGAAAATTGAACGATTTCGCCTCGTGTCTCTTTAAAGAAACATTTTTCAAACTTCCACTTTAGCTGTCGTGTTTGTCAACCAGTTCTCTCCATTCTCAAACATTATTTAATTATTGGTGTGATTTTTAAGAATTGGAATTTAAATGTACTGTACGATGTATTAAGAATACTTGTTTTTTTTTTTATTTTAAATAATTGTGACAGAACGTGTTTTATGTTTTGCCTAATAATTTACTGTGTAAGTTCTTTAATGTCCATAGAATTTCTTCGTGCTTTTTGCTATAATTATTTTGTTAATTCGTCCTCAGGTATTTCTTATTTCACCTTTTCTCGAAAGATTTGTAATTTTTCTTTCTGTGAATCGCGATCGCTTAAATTTCATTCCTTATTAATTAAATTAGCCTTCATTTCCACTACAAGACGTTCAAAAAGAAATTAGTAATGATATGCAAGTGATACATTTGATACCAGAAGAAAAAGTGACACAATTTTGGACGAAAATTGACCGCAATGATTAAACCGAAAAATACGACGATACAATTCTCCAACTTCCCAAACTCCGCAAACTATCATCCCGAAAAATCTAAGAGCTTGGATCGCGCCAGTATCTTCAATCACCCAGCTAACTACCAAAATTACCAAGCATCGTTAAACCCAATATCCTCGCAGCTGAATCTCCAAACTTAATTACCTTAATTTCCCAACTTTTCTGCGGGCTTGATGCCCGGTAATTCGAACCAAGAAATTACCTTTCACCGTCAGTTAACCTGACCGATCTATCAACAAGTGGACGAACGGTGTGTGGTGCGGCTATCTCGTTGAACCGCGGCTACTTTCTCACGCGCGAACCGATCGCGAATAAGAGGAAGAGAAGAGAGAAAAAAAAACAAATGAAACGAAGGTGGTAATCGATGGATAAAGCTCTAGGTGAAACGTATTTCACAGGACATCGACAATCTGATGGCAGAAGGCAACAAGTCGAGGACAGTGGCGGCGACGAACATGAATTCGGAGAGTTCCCGCTCCCACGCGGTGTTCTCTGTGATCCTGACGCAAACGTTGACGGATTCGAAGAGCGGCGTCAGCGGCGAGAAGGTCTCGCGAATGAGCTTGGTGGACTTGGCAGGAAGCGAAAGGGCTGCGAAAACTGGGGCAGTGGGCGATAGGCTTAAAGAAGGAAGCAATATAAACAAGTAAACGAGCTCTTTTCTTTTCTATTAGTGTTCGTGAATGATTTTTTAGGCTAATTCAGATTTTTCGAAGCACAGTAGACTCGCATTTAACGCGGCAAAGATATCGTAAAGCAGTATAGACGAATAAACGAGCTGTTTTATCTTGTATTAGCGTTGATTAGGTGGACTGCGGATTTTTTATACACGTTCCAGTGGTGTGCAAGAACCCGAAAATGTCGGTTCGGATACTCGAAAGTGTCTCGTTGATTCCCGAGAATTTCAGGATTCCCGAAAGTAGAACGAAACTATTATCGGAGAACGTTGAAAAACTAGCTTTTCTACACGAAAATATGAAATAAATCACATCTATCACGTATTTGCTTACCATTTTCGTTCCATGTTCTATTTCTTATAATTTTATAATTCTCAGTAATCCCGAAATTCTCGAATTCTGAGATACTTTCGGGACCCGTTCCCGACATCTTCGAGTTCTCGCGCACCCCTGGCAAATTCATATTTTTCGGAGCACAGTAGACTCTTGTAACGCGGCAAAGATATCGCGAAGCAGTATAAACAAGTAAACCAGCTGTGCGAAATAGAGAAGTCTATTGTTAAAATTCCAGTGTTTAACCCTCTAGCTTAGTGAAAAAGATGGTCCCTTTAAAGAAGTTGCTAAAGGCGAAGTTTAACCCTTTCGGACTGCACAGAAATTTTTGCCTTCGGATATGATACAATGATGAATTCTAAATGACAAACGACAGTAAACCATTTTCTATGCGCTAACGTTGAAACATTGAAAGAAATGCAACCTAAAAATAAAATAAAATAAAATAGACTTTTTCCTACCACTCCAGATAAACTTATTCTCTGCATACACTCTCTTTATCACACAAAATTTACTAATTCGCTTTGTTAATTAATTTACCAATACACGGTGAACGAATGTTCTTTAAACTCTGTCACAGCTAAAGGGTTGATCCAAGTAATTTCTCCTTTCTTTCTATTTTGAAACTAAAGACAGAAGCGTTCACGATACACACGAGTGGTTGTACGATGCACGAGGAAGCGATCGATCACGGGATATAATAGAGAAAAAATATTTGCAGATCCCTAACGACGTTGGGTCTAGTCATTTCGAAACTGGCGGATCAGAATTCCGGAAGTAATAAGAATAAGGATAAGTTCGTGCCGTACAGGGACTCCGTTCTGACGTGGCTGTTGAAGGTATTGTTTGAAGTGGATCAAGTATCAATTGGCTAGGTTCTTCAACGTTTAATACACAGTGAAAGAGATACCATGGTATTATTATATTCTCAATAAATCCTGATAATAAATAGCGCAACTGTGATAATTTTAGATAATTACGTATAATTAAAGGGCATCTGTTGATAGTTGGAAAATAATTGAAATTATATTGCAGTAAATTATGCAGTACATAATAAATCAGGGAATCGAGGTGCAGAAGGTTTATTTATAGATTAATTTTTTCAACGATTTTCTTAGGTGTAATGACATTTTAATTTCAGGACAACCTTGGTGGAAACAGTAAAACCGTAATGGTAGCCACTATATCTCCCGCAGCGGATAATTATGAAGAAACGCTTTCCACATTGCGGTACGCGGACAGAGCAAAGAGAATCGTTAATTATGCTGTGGTCAACGAGGATCCAAACGCGAGAATCATTCGAGAATTAAGGCAGGAGGTGGAAACGCTGAAGGAGATGCTGTTACATGCGACTGTAAGATGATTAAGGCTCATTAACGTTGACGTACTAATTACGCGTTAGACTGATTAACGAACGAAGTCGTTAGAGCCACTGTCGATGTTAAAATTTATACAAATTTCTAAATAAAGTTAATCAAAATTCGAATAATAAAGAAGTCACTACAACTGTATAGTAATTGCACGTTAGTAGAGTTAAACACTTTTGTCACAAAAGTTTCAACTCTCAAATCATTTGCAAAATTAAACAAAATTGAAGCATTGTCACACGAAAGTTTCGACTCTAAAATCATTCGTTCAACAGCTGATCCAGCGAGTAAACAAGAAATTTAGTACGAATTTAGTCAGAAACGAGTTCGAAATGAATTCGTGAAATTTCAAAGTAATATTCGGAATTGACATAGACGAAGAAGCGATTATTTCTCAATTCCGCTAAACTTCCTCCAATTCTCTTTTCCTCTCCAATGGGCAGGGATCGATACTGGGCCAGCAACGCACAGACATAACGGAGAAGCTCTCGGAATCGGAACGATTGATGAAGGAGATGTCGCAGACGTGGGAGGAGAAGCTAGTGAAAACAGAGAGGCTGCAGCACGAGAGGCAACAAGCCTTGGAGAAGATGGGAATCAGTGTCCAGGCTTCTGGTATCCAAGTGGAGAAGAACAAGTATTACCTCGTTAATCTGAACGACGATCCAAGCTTAAACGAGCTGCTAGTTTACTATCTAAAAGTACGTAGAAACAACGAACCTCTTGCGAACGTTTAAATATCGAAAGTGTGTAGACTAGAGCTCTTATTGCTGGGAGAATTTCGGGATATTCGAGTGTTGAGTAGGGAGGTACTGTGCAGAGATGAGAAGTTGGCTGGCGCAAGATATGCAGGTCTGATTATCGTAAAATTAGGGCGTGTCTGTTGTAATTATTGGCCAACGCGACAACGAATTGGATTACGAACAATTGCATTATGAGAGAGTTAGGCCCCTTTTAACTCATTTGCATTCGAATATAACGATTGTCACTTATCACCAACCGCGGAATAATACTCTCAGGCCGACTGTCAGGTGAACGTCCTCCATTTCTGAAGTTAGTTGCGTTATTTAGATTAGGTCAAGGCCCAAAAACCTCTTTTGCCTCTGTGTCGTTTAGATAGACTTCTTTTCAGCTCTGCACAGTACTCGAAAACCGACTCAATTTGGACCTGAACATTCGAGTATCCGGGTACTCGCGTGATTTGGATTCGGTGCAACAAAAAGATACTTCCACTTGGAACTATCGGAGAAAAATCAGATAAATCCTTACTGTACGAAAATGAAATCTTACGGGAATACTTCCTAGTGTTTTCTCTAAATTCTGAAGTAACTTTCATCCGAATCGATTGACTAGCTCCAGAGTTAACACCACAAAGTCGATCTATCCTTCCGTGATTTAAATATGCAGAATTTGAGTCTCTATTGAAATTCCATTCATTTAGACTTTTACTTGCGCGATTTGGATCCAGATATTTAAATACATCACCCTCGCGATTAATCTGTCGGATACTAAATATCAACATCCAAACAGTCTCCTCTAAGCGCTGATTTTCCTATTCTTCAATCTTAACCCTTTACCCAAACTTGCTTCCATTAACCTAAATTTCTACAAGAGAAGCTTCACATCTGAGTAATTAACGAAGGAAATCCAGATACTCGAGCATTCAAGTTCATTTTATGACTGTTTCGTATAATAAAAGCTCCAGTATAATACAAACTGTCGTATTTGTCGTAAATCAGGAGAGGACTCTAGTGGGAGGTCGTTCCGCTAAGACAGATCAAGATATTCAATTGCACGGATTAGGTATCCTGCCTGAACACTGCGTCATCACGATAGAAGAGACTGGTCTCTATATGACGCCATTAAACGGTGCTAGGTGTTTCGTAAACGGCACCCAAGTTGTAGAGAAAACGCCTCTATTGCACGGCGACAGAATCGTCTGGGGAAATCATCATTTCTTTCGAGTGAATTGCCCGAGGAGTGCAACAGGTAACCCTTGATGGATATATCGTTGATTGAATTTTAAAGAAATCTACCTCCCCCTTTTCACCGGGATTCATTCCAACGAGACCGTGTGTATCTCTCTGTTCACCAGCGATCAACAGTGAGCCTCAGACACCGGCCCAGAATATCGATTACAACTTCGCCCGGGAAGAGCTGATGCTTAACGAGCTATCGAACGATCCCATTCAAAGAGCTATCGCCAGACTCGAGAAACAGCACGAGGAAGATAAGCAGGTACGCTTTCGAGGATCGATGAAGTTTGATAAAGGGTTTCGAAGATGTTCACGTTGAAAGGTGGAACGTACTCGGTTTTGCAGCTGCAATTTTTTGATATTGCGCGAGGTAGCGCTGTTTGATTCCTTGTTGAAATGTTACAGCGTTTAATGGTGATTTATTAACACTTCAAGCGCCGGTTATTTTGTTGGAAACTTTACTTAAAGCGCCGCAATGTTTGACTAACAGAAATAACTCTTGTAAAACAGAAAATTTCTATTGAAAAATTTTACATAGTGTTTGTTGCAGGCACAGCGATGATTTTTAGCGGTATAAATATTCAGCCACTTGCTTTTTCGGCAGAAACATGTAAAAACGCATTTAGGCGGGCCCGGCGCTTAAAGTGTTAACTGGTTTCTTCGAAGATGGTTTTGAGCTATTACTAGATTTACGTTTATAAATTTTTATGTTACCTCGCCGATCACTTCCTTTAACGACAATAGTCTACTTTATCGTCCAATTGTAGCAGTTTTCTGATAAGAAAATTCTAAACTTCGTGCAAAGAAATAACGATCTGGCCGGATATTCGAATCTTTTACCGAGAGGATCAAACATTTTAAGTAAGAAATTGTGTAAAAGGGTTCCGCGGTTATTGACATAATAAAAAGATGGCACGATAACTTACATATCGAGAAAACCGACTGAATGTTCATTTATCGATTCACCAACTGATAAAGTAGATAAGAAGTTATATCTTATCTACTCAAACCTAAAGATAAGGCAATTTCAGCGGTGCGAAATTCTCCAGATCATCAAATTCCAAAAATCATTGCATTTCGCTTCTTCAGACAGTGTTATCAATCTCCGCGCTGCTAGGGGTAAAACAATAGTAACTAGCAAACCGTTTAATCTACTTATCCATAAATCTACACCTGAAAACTCGAAGGGGCCAACAATCTGCAAATATCAAACACTTGCCAACGTTCTAACATCTCGTTTCTTTGTCTAGGTTGCGCTGGAAAAGCAGAGACAAGAGTACGAGCGACAGTTCCAACAGCTTCGTAACATTTTGTCTCCTTCGACGCCTTACTCTCCTTACGTACCGTACGATCCCTTGAGAGGCAGTCAAAGTGGTAAATTGCCTGCCTGCACGCCAACTACGCAAATGCGAGTGGAGAAATGGGCCCAAGAAAGGGACGAGATGTTCAAGAGGAGTTTAGGTCAATTGAAGGCGGACATCTTGAAGGCGAACGCGTTGGTCCAGGAGGCGAACTTCCTCGCGGAAGAAATGGAAAAGCAAACGAAGTTTAGTGTTACCCTGCAAATTCCGCCGAACAATTTAAGTCCGAACAGAAAGGTAATATGTCCTGATTGATTGGCCTACTTGTAACCAGGGTGTTTCGTTGAAAATGAGTATTATGTACAATCTTGAAAGCTTGGTTCTGAATTCTTTGAGATTTTTCATGAGAAAACTGTGTCCTTTTTGTATTTAGAGAAGGTAAGCTTCTCTCGTGTTCACTAATATTCTATCTGTACAAAGTGGTACTGTGTACTTGTTGTTGGTAGTAAAATAAGAAACAACAATGAAGGTACTAGTTGAAAATCAGGATGATCATTTTATTATTAGTTCATGTATGTTTTATGTGTACTTTATATTCACTTTCTGTGTATGTGTTCATGATTCAGTTTCACTTTATTTACAATCGTTCAACTTTTTCTGTGTATTAAACTTTTCTTTTTAGACACTTTCTCCTTTATTTCACTGATTTTTCTTACTCTTTCAGTTTGTGTACATTGTGTTTATTTATTTGTGGTCATTGTGCTTTCACACTCTTCGATATGCAGAGTGTATTCTTTCAGCGAGGCGCGTTCGTCAGCGAGCCCGCGATCCTGGTGAAAAGGACGAACATGGGTAGCCAAGTATGGTCGATGGAGAAATTAGAGAATAAGTTAGTCGACATGCGGGATATGTACGAGGACAGAAAAGATCCCAACAATTGTCACCGATTACCTGCCATTAAGGTGAACAGTCTATTCAACCCTGAACTTAACACATTGCTGACGGTACACTGTGAAATTGACAGTGTAATTTTTCAAAAATAATCTTCGACACTTTGTTCGTCGATAGAGGCGTAAATTATGCAAATTAGCGTATCTCGTCACGATGACAATTCTGCCGTCAACAATGTGTCAACAATTGAAAGAAAAACGATCTCTACGATTTATCGTATTTCTAAACTAGGACGAAGTTCCCGGGAAGACTCAGGATCCTTTCTACGAGTCCCAGGAGAATCACAATCTCATCGGCGTAGCGAATATTTTCTTAGAGGTTCTGTTTCACGACGTTCGGTTAGACTATCACACGCCAATTATCAGCCAACAGGGAGAAGTCGCTGGACGACTGCAGGTCGAGATTAGTCGGAAATCTGGTCACTTCCCACAGGATCGTATGTGCGAGGCAGCATCAGAATCTTCAGCCGACTCCACGTCGTCTGAACCTGAAGATTATTCCGGATCGAGTCATATGACTTGTTGCGTGACTATCAAACAAGCCACCGGTTTACCTCTGTCCTTGAGTCATTTCGTATTCTGTCAGTACATGTTCTGCGGTCATCCGGATCCTATAGTGGTCCCAGCCGTCGACAACTCGGAGCAGCTTAATTCGAATTGCCAGATGGGACAGAGGGACTCTTTGGTGTTCAAGTTCGATCACAGGAAAGAGTTCACTGTGCCCATGACGGAGGAATTTATGGAACATTGTGCTGGTAAGTGATGATGCTGTGCGATATTTCATAGATTGTAGCGTTGGAGTAGAGTGTTTTAATCTATGGCTGCCAGTGTAGGAAGTTTCTGGTACATTGAACGTATGCCATATTAAAAAATTTCTAGTTGTTTGTAAGAATTACTGGTTTTTGGAATGATACAGCAAATTGAGAAGGTTTAACTACTCTAATTCTAAGATATGTGCAAACATATTTATTTTTTAGTTTGTATCAACTAGATGCGTTTTGCATGTTACTTTTTAATGATTAGAGATGATACAGTAAATTGAGACTATTTTATAATATTTTATGCGTTGAAACTAAAATTGAAGTTTAATTATTCAAATTCTAAGACACTTGCGAACATGTTTCTACATGTAGAAGGCGCCTTAAGTATAGAAGTTTGGGGACACCGAAGTGCCGGTTTCTCTCGAAGCAAACCAGGCTGGGAAGTGGAGCAACAGCTCGCCAAAGCTAGATCCCTGGCTGATCGTTGGTCGGAATTAACGCGAAAGATTGAACTGTGGGTGGAAATTCAGGAACTGAACGAACAAGGAGAATATTCACCTGTCGACGTAGTTGTCAAACAAGATACATGCACAGGTATGTTTTCCTTCGTACAATTGTCGAATTATTCCTCGATCCATAACTAACACTTATTTCAGGGGGAATTTATCAATTACGTCAAGGGCAACAACGACGAATACAAGTTCGTGTGAAACCGGTTCAAAATTCAGGAACGTTGCCTATCATTTGTCAGTCGATATTGAACATAGCAGTTGGCAGTGTTTCTGTGAGAAATCGTCTTCAGATATCATTGGACAGTTATCAAGACGAAGACTTAAGCGCGTTGAGGGAAAAATGGAGCGAAGCCTTGATGAGAAGAAGACAGTACTTGGATCAACAGATACAGAAACTTATTAACAAACATGGTAGATTTATTTAGTATATAAATGAGAATGAATGATAGACTGAGTTTTGAATGTAACACCTGTGTGTGCAGATAAAACGGAGCAAGACATGGAACGAGAACAGAGTCTCGTGGATCAATGGGTGAATCTTACAGAAGAAAGGAACGCGGTGTTAGTCCCTGCGGCAGGATCAGGAATACCTGGTGCTCCTGCTGATTGGAATCCTCCTGCAGGAATGGAACCACACATTCCTGTTCTGTTTCTTGATCTGAATGGTGCATAGAAGAAAGTTTCCTTGTTAATTTCTCAATATTTTATTTTATATTTCCTTATTTCTTAATTTTCTATTCTATTAATTTCTCAATATTTTATTTTACATTTACTTATTTCTTAATTGTCTATTTTACTAATTCATCAATATTTTATTTCATATCTACCTATTTTTTAAATTTTCCATTACTTATACCAATACTTTCACAAAACCAAATTGAACAATTCCAAAAAACCAATATTCACAGCTGACGATCTCTCGACCCATCAGTCAGGAGAGGAAGTCTCCGTAACAGGATTGAATTCCATCTTACCCAAGGAGCACGGTAACAAATTTTACAACCTACCGATTATTCGACGTATAGAGAAAGACGTGTGCGCAATTGCCGCCTGGGACTCCAGTATACACGACAACAAACACTTGAACAAAGTGACAGATGGTAAATTTTCAACATTTCCTTCCTCTCGTCCAAAGTATCAAACCTATCAACCCTTTACTTATACCGCATACGAATAAATTCCAGCGAACGAACGGGTTTTTTTAATTTTAAAAACTACGGTACGCCTGTCGCATCCTGCACCGATGGATCTCGTTCTGCGTAAACGATTAGCCCTGAACATCTACAAACGGCAAAGTTTCGCTGACAGATTCATCAAGCGAATCGTTCGTACCGATTGTTTAACGCAAACCGGAGTCACATACGAAGTTGTATCGAACATACCAAAGGCGAGCGAGGAGCTGGAAGATCGCGAAAGTCTGGCGCAGATAGCAGCCAGCGGTGAGGACAACAGTTTATGCGACGGTGAAACGTACATTGGTAAGACAATTTCCGGATGTCTCTCTCTTTCTGACAGAATTCTGAGAATTCGACATTTTTGTTTCTTCCTGATACAATTTTATAAACTCACACATGTTTGATATTTGCATAGAAAAATATACACGCGGTGTTTCTGCGGTGGAAAGTATCTTAACTTTAGACCGACTACGACAAAACGTCGCGGTAAAAGAATTACTGCAAGCACAAGGTCAACCACTTATGCGCAAGACAGCTAGCGTACCCAACTTCTCGCAGGTACTACTGCCTCTTCGCCGTCTCGGACGCACTGTATGCTTTTCGTTTAATTTGTTTTTTCTTTTCTTTTTCCATTTTATACCTATGTATGTATATGTATATATATATATAGTTTGTGTTTTGTATTTTCTCCTTTTGAGTTTGAGCGTTTTCCCGAAAGGGGACGAATTTAAATGTTGGTTTATCTCATAAAGAATAGAACACTTCAGGCTACTTTGTTTCGTATATGCTCCAAAATTTGATCCTGTTCTCGATACTTTCATCTTCTCGAATTATAGTTTGTCTAGAATCATTTGGCTGATCGAAGATAATGGAAAAAAGAATGAAAATTTCTCTGAATACTTGCTTAACCCTTTCACTGCTATATCGCATTGTACTATTGGAGCCTTTTTGACACACTTCCGTATTAATTCAAACCTTAATTTCATCCTCTGCACTCTTCCACGTTAATTCGATAAAACGAATTTTCGAATGATTGAAAAAAAGAAAATTTTGCGACCGTTGTGGACCAAAATTTGCCGCAGCGAAAGGGTTAAACGTCGAACTTAACTTAGTGGGCAAATTTGAAACGCTGTTAACTTAATTTTTGGACCTTAACCTTTTTACTGCCGGAGTACCTTGGTACTTATGCGAAAAATGCCACGGGCCGAAATATCAGCCTCCTTTCTTTACGTTCACATTATCTCTCCTCAGAGTGTCAAGTGACGAAATGAAATATTTTCGTATACCAGTATTGAAAAGAACAAACAATAAAATTTTCCTTCGCGAAATCGACACTTTCTTCGTTACAAAGCGCGCGTATCAAAAATCACCCCGTGGCATTCTTCGAACGTACCGCAAAAATGGGCCTGGCGCTAAAGGGGTCAAAGACCTTAAAGTCTCGACGAATGAACTTATTCAAAAATTGTCAAAGATTGTACGAAAAGAGAGATGTTACTTGCGATGTTCGCGACATAAAGGACGTGGCTAAATTATTTCTAGACAGACTGTAATCAAATTGAACAGATCACTCGAGACCTAGGTAAGTAACACGACTCGCTGCTGTTTGCAGATCATGAGATCCGATACATCAATGGACTCTCTGAACGTGATGCGTTCTGAAAGCGTGACTGATCTGAACACCGAGCTGAATGGAATTCTGCATTCACGTCGCGCATCCACTGGCCACACTAGAAACGACGAGAACTTCGTTCCAGCTCCGGCGAAACCGTTCGGAATCGGTAAGCGAACCGTTCACTTCACACACACACACACACACACACACACGTGTTTACATTTTATAGGAGAACATTTCCAAAACGAGAAAAAAAATTTCGATTAATCATACATTCTATGATTTCTTAATTGCACATCCTAGCGTGTCGATGCAATCGTGCCAGTTCGCGTAACTGGATGTTTTCGAAGAGAAGAAAAGGAAGAAGTGATTGGAAATTTTGCGAAGAGTCCAATTTATGAAATCATAGAAGAGAAAAAGAAATTGATTGATGAACCAGCTTTTAAAACGAGAATATACGATAAACGAAAGATTCCTTTCTTATTATTCACACGAGAAAGAAAAGAGAAAATATTTCACTTCATACGATTCCATTTTTTACTCATTCATTAGTTCACCGTTTCATACTTGTAGTAATCCATTTTTCTCAGTACAACTGATTGCATATCACATTTATTTTATACTCCTTGATGATCTTAGTGACAATAGAATTAACACGTTACTGTTGTTCATAATAACTTTTAACAATATCCAACGGTTTCTACCATAAGTACGACAACAAAAAGGTAATTCCATTGATTTCTTTGTAAGAAAGAGTTCTTTTGCTCCGCAAGCCTTTCGTTGCGCGTGATGTGTTGATGAAGGCGTAGCGAACTTAGTGAAACAACCATAATTTTTTTTTTTTTTTCGTTTTTTTTTCTTCATTAGTACGCTGCTCTCTGTTCGACACAGAGCTTGCTACACACATATATATATTGCAGAGTTTTCGCTAAATGGATTGCTACTTCTACATAAAAATTTGACCAGTTGATTTTCAACGTTTTTCTGTTCTTTCTTTTTCTGTTTTTGTTTTTTAGTTGGTGATTTTTTATATATGACTTTACATGATCTTATGCAAATTCATCGTTTAATGAATGCAACATTTTAGTTCGCTTCCGATCACAATTGAATCATCGAAATATTAAACGCTTTTGATCAATTTTTCATGGCACTATGTTCTGAGAACCTTAGTCTTAGATATGATATCGATTTACGTCTCGATCACTTCTCCGTTGCCTTGATTTTTTCGCTTTCTCGAATATATATATATCCGACGAAAAGTTTATAATTCAGTTTTTTGAAATGTGGCTTATGCAATGTTTTTTCAATATTATATATATATTTATACGTGTATAGAGGGCGACTCGTTTCGATCTGTAAATGCTGATCTTTTGGATGATGCGTTGAATGGAAAAACCTGCTTTTGGGGATTAGACGAGATGGAAGGGAATACTAATTTTAAAAAAATATTTTTTTTCTACAAAATGATTTTTTTTTTTCTACCAAATGAATATATTTGGGCTCGTTTGAAATAGAATTATTTGAAGTATTTCAGAATTATTTCGTTTCTGAAACACAATTGTGTCATTTTATTTCGAGAAATCATTCTGAAAATAATCATCTTGTGTCGAAGATAGTGAAATAACGAAACACTACTTCGATAGTTCAACCAGTGTACAGTGCAGAGAAGAGAACTTGGCTAAAATAAAACTTCTTTCTCTTGTACAATCATAAAAAGAGGGCACACTTACTTTAGTAATTGGCCTAAAATCGCATCGTTTTACTATACGAGCCACGAGCCGCTTTTTATTCTTCAAATTTTAGTATCAAAGCACATGCTTAATTCTTCGCGAATAAAAAAATTTAAGAAATTCAATTCGATGGAGTTAGAGTGGCTCGTATCGGCTTGTGCCACCAAGGACCTAAAGGTGACAATTTCGGAAGAGTCGCTAAAAATTTAATTCCCTTCGGCTATACTTCCCTTGCCACTGAGCCATCCAATTAGCCATCTTCTCTTCTCTGGACTGTACTACCGTGTCTCGACATCTCGTTAGATCCCGCAAAAGCAGATTTTTCAATGCAGCACAACTTCCGAAATATCAGCATTTACAGATTAAAACGGATCACCCTGTGTACATCTGTGTGTGAGCGTTATATACATATATCTCTCACCTTGCCATGATAGTCACTTTACAATTTGCCCTAGTTTTGATTGTCTAAAGTTCCACTGTTATGTCTTCCTTTGGTGTTGGATATGTTGGCTCTGAATAATGGGAGATAATCACTTCATCTGTTATCCTTTTCGTTCGTTTTTATTATTGAGATTCATGTCATCCATCGTCAAGCATTTCCTTCTGTCGTGTCTACCTGTGTTACATGAATAAATCAAATTCTCCGAAATCATTCTTATCTGCTTATCCGTCCGAGAAAAATCGCCATAGTGCTCCAAATTTTCGAAATTACCACTTGGAAAAAGGAAAATGACGTTTGATTAATCAGATACGACGCAAGGAAATCGCTCGGTCACTTAGAACAAACACGATCAACAGTTCGATCACTCTCCCTAACGATGTTTGGTAATACTGATCTCCCTATTAGCAATTTACCACTAGACACACTGGAATTTCGTATTTATTATATTTACAGCTTCTATCATACTGTCATGTCACCACGCTATGTTCAACTTTTTTACGCACGATTCTTCCATCTTAGCGAACATTTATTGCAGCTTTCCTAGAGACGAGAGATCGCGTGACAGTGATTATTGTCGCGGCTGAAGAGAGTTGAGCATGGTATAAAGAAAGAGAAGAAAGTGAGAAAAAAAAAGACCCAAAACTGTTTTCTCTCAAATCCGCCCTAATAGTGTTTAATTAGCAACGACACTTGATGCTCCACCACTTGTTACAGAATTTTCTAAGAACGTTAATAACGAACCAATTAAGAATAGATATGCGAACTTTGGTGTTAGTAGAAAAATGATAAATTACCGTGCCCGTGCAATTAATATACGCAACTTACCTCTCTGTTCCTCTGTTTAACACTACGTCTACTACTTCTACCACTATTTCGGCCCACGCAAGGCTCCATTCTGAACTCAGGTAAAATGGAGTCTTGATTGATATTTAATTTGATGCCGTAACAGGCAGTGACGATTAGTACATATGTCTCGTGAGTGGTTGAGTCTGTCTGTTGTTTTAGTTCTTCGGTACGCCTTCTGTATGTACATATACGTACATGTGTACAGGGTGAGTTGGTGAAAACTGCCGTTTAAAGTAACTCGTTGTTTGTCGATTTTATTAAAAAGTGTTTCATGTGAAGTGCAGTGTTCCTCTATGGGGTTTGTCGAATGGTTGCACTTTTTATATTTTAAATTTTCCGAGATAGTTTTCAATTGTGAAAGAAATTTGGAGCATTTTGAATTTTAACTGGACTTTGCCTTTATTCGCCAGAAGTGGATTACAATTTTATGTTTCAGTCGGAGAGATAAGCGGTAAACAGATGAAATAAAAATTTTTCATTTAATTTTCCAGTCACATAGCTTCGATATTTGCTTTAAAGTGAAATAAAAAAACATTTCACTGTCGCACCTCGAATATTTATTCTGCATTTTGAAAAAAAAATCAACGTGTGTTTCCAAATGCGTAGCACTTTCTTCCTTCCAGATACAATCTAATTTACCCTATGTGAAAAAAAAATACAGCATTCCGTTAAAAAAATTAACGGCGAGACCTTGATATCTTGGAAAATTTGACACGTAAAAAAATTCAAAATGCATCCGTTCAACGAACCTCGTCAAATGAAATACATCTCATATAAACATTTTCTGATAAAAGTCAACAAATAAATGATTTCAGATGGCAATTCTCGTCGACTCGCTCTGTACAGCGTGTCGACGATTACTTAGTTTGGTGATACTAGCAATATTCAGAACCGGGAGAGGCTATACCAAGAGAGGTACAATTCCCTTCGTCCAAAATAAAACCATCAGCTAGCTCGATTAAGCTTCTCCAGAAATCCTAAGGATTGAGAAAAAAAAATTCTTAAAAACGAAAAGCTTAAGGAACGCGCTGCTCCTGTTGCGTTTTCTCCTGGCTCATCCGTGTGCTCTAGTTCTGAAAATTGCTGATGTCTTTTTCTGTCTGTATTGAACGCTGTTTTTCCTTTTATTTTGCAACGAGCAATGTTACCTTTTATTTCCCCGTTTCGACGTAAATTTATTCTAACTGCATGCGAATGCGTTCCTTGTGTACAAGCATCAGCAAGTCTTTGTTCCACTTCGCTCACACACCCCCTTCTTACACGATGATTTGTGCGTGTTGCTGATCATGATCGATTGTCGAAGGATCGAAATTGATATACATATGTATTGTTTGCAATGTGAAGAAAAAGAGAACAATCTTTTCGTGTCTATCGCAGATTCTATCAGAGATCACCATGCGTAGAAATCATGTTCACCTAGCACTGTATTCACGACTACTATAATATCTCTGTCTCTCTATTCACGACGAAAGCATGGATATTGAACAACTCTTTCGCAGAAAGTTTTTCAATAGAATAGAAACAACTTCTATATATATATAGTTTCTTTTACGTTTTTTTTTTATTTTTTTTTTTTTATTTTTTCAAACTGACGATTGGTCGAACGTGGAAAGTGTCGTTTCGTCGCGTTCGACTAATCATCGGAATTGGTATTCTGATGTTTCTAAGACTGAATTTAAGAGTGGACCAAAATCGCGTGTAAAAAAAAAAAGAGAATCTATAATATACTTTATCATAGTTGAAGGGAAAAAAAAGAAGAAGATAACGTCGCTTGTAAAGTTGTTCTAATTTTACTGTCTCTACCTGTGAATGTGCTATTAAGCGATATTTTAGAAACAGATGTAGGTTAACTGTATCATATATGTGTACCCATATAAATATATATATATTGACTAATTATTTAGGTGGATATACGCTTCTGAAAAACAATTTAGGGTATCTTAATGGTAGAACAAGAGAGATAATTAAATACTCAGTTGATAAACACACGTGTCGGTAAAGAAGTTTAAATTGTTTTTCACAGGAGTTAAAGATAAAGAGGCTCGTGCCTCGACGGATGAAAAAGAAAATGGAAAAAGGAATTTCAAAGGAGAAAAGATTGATTTCTATTTTAATACCAGAAATTTACGAAGAACGAAGAAATTTCCATTTTCTCTGTTCACAGAACGAATTAGTTTAAAGTCAAACAAGCTAAGAGGTTGTAGCGAATCATTTGAAGATATGGTAGGGGGCAAAATTAAGAGTAATTAGTAATGCATGAGATTATCGTTCCAGACATAGTGAAGCATGCTTTGTGAGAGGATAGAACAACGCTATCCACTGTATAGTAAAAACTGAAAAAAAGAAGAAACAATGAAAAACGTCGAAGCTGCTATCATCTTTGACTTTAAACTAATCACTATCGTTGGAGATACTTTTAACAAATTCACAATGCACGATAACAAAATTCCACTGATTTCAAACAACTTCCAACTAAATTCCAAGATCTTCCAATCTCGCCGTATCTGTGCATTGTGAATTTTCATTGAAATGGCGAGTTGAAACGTTTCACACTCGAAGCAACCAGTTCAAATCTCGAGAAACGATGTTAAAACTGTGTTGCTCGTTTCTGTATTCGTTTATTTAAATATTACCTGTACATGACTGGTGTCGATAGCACACGAATGTCTCTGAATCTTCGAATCTCTGACAACACGGACACAAGCAAATGGTGTACATTGGTCTGTGGTTTGCCTCACTGTACTCAGTGTCCTCTAGCCTGCCAGGCATGACTGATCATACGTTACAAGCCTGTAAAGAGAGAACAAAAGAAAATTGGAGAAACGAGAAAAAGAAGGCTCGCCATTAAAGAGGGAGAGAAACAGAACGTAGCGTTTAGTGATTAACGAGAAAGAAAAGAAAACGAGTGCCGTGTAATCAGTACGTCTATCTCCTTTCAGCGAGACCAACTTTCCTGAATCTCAACCTGAATCTCAACTCATTGACACGTCTGCAACAATCCACCTCCGCCAAGTGTAGGTGACACTCGCTGTTGGTTGCTCTTTCAAACTAGCTCGCTCCGGAAGGGTGCTGGCTAACGAGCTGCACTACACCACTCGTTCAAGTCTCCGTTAGAAAACGGCGGAGAGATCCGTTCCTTTATTCGAAATTTCACTTCGTTGATCTCGCGTGAACTTTAAACCTTTCTCCAGCAATTTTTGCATTAAATTCCATCTCTTCTCCTGTAGGTATAGTAATTATTGTCGACGAAGTAACATATTGCGTTTATCAATGGAGATTATTAAGTTGTAAGATTAAAAATAATATTGGCGAAGCTAGCTGTAACTGCAATGGTAGATCGATGCTGCTAAATATTGCTAATTGATCGTATCGAGAGTTGGAATTTTTTTAAATTCATTTCCACGGAGAAAGGATTAAACTTTCTAGGACTGATTCGAAGATCGATCTTAACCTTCGAACGACGGTCGCCGGGTCACAAATGACCCAAGTTTTAAATGTCTCTTATTTCAACGAATATTCGACAAATTTGTGCAATTTGTATAATTCGACGCGATACGATGCTTGATAAAATTAAAAGAAATCTGTTTTCGTTCGTGTACGAGGAAGATTTTAGTACTGGGTCACATTTGACCCGCCATCCGTTGTTCAAGGGCCGATCGATCGAGATCGTTAAAAGTTTTGGCAAGTTTGAAAGAGTCCATTGAATCATTCTTGTAGTAATTAGTAGACTGTTTCGTTTCCTTACACCTTATTTCGATTATTACGTAGCGATACGATAATAGACACCGATCAAACCACGATTCGTTTTTTCGTTCAGTATTTCGTTCTCCGTAGATATTTACCGTTTGTTAATGGAATCGCAGCCTTACTGTGCCAAAGGTGCAGTGCATAGTTTCCATATGTGTTCAATGTTTTACTGCTTACGAATTATACTCGTACCTATCTCCACCTCTGTTTTATGTTCATTTCAGGCTGCCTTATATTCCACGTATTGTCTGCTTGAATATTACGAATCTCTAGTACATCGTTCGAACACTTACTTTAATTACCGAGTAAGAAATTCGATTGACATGTATCATTGTATCACGTATATCGAGTATAGAAATGAATTTCTTCCGACTTTCAAGTTAGAACCAACGATCGACATAATTTGCATGATTTGTCACGATCTTTTGAGACTTTTCGCGATGGAAATTATGCGAATTTAATTCGAAAGAATTCATTTCTACACCCGATATATACAAATACATCCAGACAATTTAATCGAGGACAAAATCGAAGAGAAATCGAGAAACTTGATCGACGGTGAAAAAAAGAAAAAAGAAATCGTCGAATACGTGGAATATACTGTTATCCTTTATGTTTTTCTTTACGAATAGCATGGATATATTCCTTTGTTCGATATTTTACAACCACGAATATGTGTATCAGAACCGACCTGGCACCCTTTCAATGTGATCACGAACCCGATTACGTGGAATGTTATGTTCGTAACCCCGAGAGAAGAAGAAGTAATCGTCAACTACTCTAACCACGGATCGATCGATTTTCTAGAGTCAATCGATTGTTCTTTACCGTGGCCAGATCGGCCCTGATATTCATAAAATTCTCGCAATTCTCGCACGAGTAGTGTCACTGTGTGATTTTTACTGATTTCATATTGTTTTATTTTAGCATCCCCGAATATGGTGGGTAGCAAACTGGGCCTACGAATGACCACTCTGCACGAAGAAACGTCGAATGTTGGTAATCAGGTGTCGACACCTGTTCACGACGAGGACGAAGAGAAGAGCGACGCTGATTACTTGGAATATGACGCGTATCAGGTAGTACACGTTCTTCAATTTTAGATGTATTATTGGAATTATCTGATTATGTCGTACAGAGTGAACCATGTAACGTGATTACGTTCAATTATTCTGTCGTCGATGGATCGATCGAAATTTGTCTTTGTGTCGCATAAAGTAATTCAGAGAAGCTACAGTATACTTTTCCCAATTTTTCACCTTTTTATAGAGAAATTTCTAATTTTTAAATTATTCGTTTAAGGTGATTTCAGAGGTCGCCTTAATCTCTTTTTTCTTTCATAGACTTATCATTTTTAAGTTACTCGTTTAAGGTGATCGCGTTAAGAGGTTCACCCTGTATAGATCGGGCCACGTAAAACAGGCCACCTGAGTATCTTCTCTAACTACGGTGGTAACAGATTAGAAAAATTATCCTTCGCTTAAAATTTTTCAACGTTCCATTGCGTATTCGAAAATTAGCCTAAAATTGTAGCTAAAGAGAGTAGTCACATTACCTGAATTAAATATACAAATTAACCTGACAAATTGCAACTTTGATGTGGAAGAAACGCCTGTATTTAAAAAACTTTTACTCCCAAAAAAAAAAGAAAAAGTTAAACATACACTAGAGATCGGATAGATCATTTCTCTATACAATTTCAACGTACAGCTGTTTCTTCTCACTGTTCCTCACGGGAAAAAAATTGCTAAGTCCCACGGTGTCATCGTTGTCACAATCAAATCACACGCGATTACGTTCAGGCACCGGCGAAACCAGTAAAACCGCTAACTTCTTCACGCACACTGGATTCTCTCGTCGAACTTCAATCGACGAAGATCAACACGCCAAGCATGAGCAGCAGCGGTTACGGTTCCCAAGCCGTGTCTACAACCAATCTAACATCCGAGGACTCGATCTCCGTCAAGTCGATCAGCGTGGACGAGACACCGGATCTGGAATACCGAAATCTGCTGGACAACAAGAAATCGGAACGGATGGATAGCTCGTTGGTCGAGGAGACACCGGAAGAGTACATGGGCGAGATGACCAACGCGTTGGACAACTTGAACGTAATGGTGAAGAACACTCGCAACGAGGGTTAGTTGAATGTTCGCTCGAAGATCAAATGTCGCACAAATGGTTTCGTTACGTGGATTGGATGATACATACTGATGTATATTTTTTATATTGCAGAACGTACTAGAAAGAACTTGGAAGAAACAGGCGCCTACATGGATGCGGATATCGATAGTCCAGTTTCTTCGACGAAAAGCGACAGCGATGCAAACAGTGGAACGCATACAAGCACTATTCACAAAAAGGATATACCGAGTCAAGTTTTGAATAATCGAAGAAAAAGCGACATGGAGATCAGTCAGGCGTCGAATTCTGGAGAAGACAGTCCCCTGGAGGGTAGCTCAGTTGTACACACGAAGCTACCACCGGGCAAGGTAATTTTTAAAATCAAATAAATTACATATATTTTGATATTTGATATTTTCCTATTTCAATCAACTGTCTTCAATGCATTTGCAATATTCAACAGTAAGATTTCTGTTCAGAGATAAGAACCTTTAGATAATCCACAAATTTAGCAATATCCAACAGTAAAATTTCTCTTCAGAAGTAAAACCTTAAATAATCCAAAAATTTAGCAATATCCAACAGTAAAATTTCTCTTCAGAAGTAAAACCTTGATAATCCAAAAATTTCACTTCAGATTCCTCTCTTTTGTAATTTCAAGGCTGACTGTGTATCTAAAATAAAGCAATAAACAGAATTAGCCTAGATACTTAAAGTGTTAATTAAAATGACTTCACGATAGGTCGTGCGGCGAAGAAAAGCTTCTGCTAATACAGGCAGACCTACCAGTTCTCAGCACAGGGCTTCATTCCCCATGGTCCGTCCACAACTCTCAGAGAGCAAAGCAGCAGCACGATTAGAACAATCAATGCAATCTAATATGCCCTATGAAAATGGCGACAACAGCTCTTCTGAACGAATCGATGGTACATAGGCTATTCTCCTGTAAACTCTCCAATTAATACTTATTTATGGATGCACATATTGTAACGAATTTTATATTCTTTAGACGACGTGAGCGATAAAAGTTCGGCTTTCGGTTCGAGACACGACTTAAGCAGAGTCGAAACACCGCTTCCAGATTGGGTTGTAGTTGGAGAATCGGTGTTGGTTCGTCCTTACAGTTACTCTGGTGTAATAGCGTATGTTGGCTCAACAGAATTCGCATCTGGGACGTGGATAGGAGTCGAACTTGACGCTCCAACTGGTAAGATTCCATTTTACCACCTCTGTTTTTTACTGTCTCGTTATTTACTTGAAAATAATCATTAGCGTGGATGGCTATTATAGCATCGACATATCTCAAATTATGCGAACGAATGAAATGATAATTTTAGTGGTCATTCTGCTCTGTTTTTTAAATTATATTACAGATACTTTTTAACCCTTTTACAAATGCTCGAACAAGAGATTCCATTGTTTACCTCTGTTGTTACAGGTAAAAATGATGGTGCTGTGAATGGCCATAGGTACTTCACGTGTCGACCGAAATGCGGAATCTTCGTTAAAGTGGACAAACTAATTCAAGACAAACGAGGCAGAGCACTTAGAAACTACACTGTCACTATTCCTCAACCTGCACCAATGCGCAGAAGCGTTAGCAGAGGTACAGACAGTATTCTGTCTAAATTAACACAGAAATACTAACTCCTACAATTTTGGCTATGCACCAGCAAAGATTCTATCCAGTATCTTTGAAGAAACAGTTTAAATCTATTACCATAAATCTTTTATCAACAAAGAGTTTTCTAACTACCCTGCATTCAGCATTGAAAGGTCTTTTATTGTAAGGTCAAGAGTATTACAATCAATTCTCAAGGAGAATTTTCAATAATTATGGTGGCATGAGGTGTGTTTCTGTTATTTAAATCTATTGTATAGTTCCTTTCAAGTCTACGGATGTGGTCAGATCTGTTCAGAGTCTGAGTGACCGGAGGATTAATATGCTCTAGAACTCAAAGTTTCTCAGATTCTAAGCGTTATTTAATCTCTTCTATAATCTCACATACCTTTCCTATTTTTATACCAAAACAGAAAAATATACACGTGAAGATAATGGATAGAATCATGGAACAGCTAAATGAAATTTGCATCTTAGCAACCCTGAGTAGAATCTTGAATACAAAATTGTCACGACTCTAACCGATAAATATTTCTTACAGGTGAGGGTTTACATTCCTTGCACCGAAGTCGGAGCCGAGGGGAAGGCCTCTCAATAACGGGCACACGATCTTCTCCACGGGGCAAGTAAACGGATCACAACACCCGCTTCACCGTAACTTCGTTTTACTAATAAGCCACTAAATATCGTAAATTGCTACATGCCTATGATATGTGTAGCAGCAGTGTTTCAGTCCCTTAGAAATTAGGGCAGCTATGGATTAATTAATTACTTATAAATATTACTTGAAATATTAGGTCATTAATGTGTATCACACAAAGCATGGGACGTTCTCTCGATTCGAACAGAACATGCTGTTCTGGAGCATAGTAATCTACTACCTACTACTTCGCATTTCAGTAGTGTGTAGGCGAGAGCGAGAGGGAGAGCGAAAGAGAGCGCGCGAGAGAAAGAGTGAGAAAATGTGCGCGCAAGAGTATCGACACTATAGAGAAGATAGATTGTGTCTTCGTTGTGTCGAGAAGTCAGCGGACGATATTCAATCGAATATAGATATATATACATATATATGATATATGTATATATATGTATAATTTGTAAGCATTCCACAAAAAACTTTTAATTTTACGACTGGGATGATGAGCCATTTACTTTTTACATAAGAACGAACAAGCATCGTTTTAGTTCGCGATTAATTGTACATTTTTTAAGGCTACAGAACGAAGAAAGTGGGAAATGAAAAACGGAGTCGCTTATTTTCATTACGATACCCTTGACCTTCATTGGGTGGTTAGCGTCAAGGTTCGTCGCAATTTAAACAATATTCCGTAACGTTTAAGCGTCGATTGCATTTAACATAAAGAAAAAAGAAGAAAAAATCGGAACAATTTCTGTTTTTCTTTTTGGCACCGAGTATATATGTGTTACATTGCAATGTAAAGAATCGCCGGTATAGAAGGAAACGTAATAACCGACAACTTTTACCCCCACCTTTTGAAAAATTACTGGTGAACAATTGCAAGAATGTAGACACTCTCCAAAATTATCCGGTTGGTAATTTAAAAGTGATCGGAGAAGTGGCCAACACGTGCAACAAATACAGGACGGCCAAAAAATAATAGAAAAAGAAGAAGAAAAGATTTTTTTTTTTTTCTTTCGAGACATACGAAGTACCCGCGCGTTGTGTAAATTATTTAAAGATTTTATATGTATACAATTGTTTCATATATATTGTATTTTTTTAGCGCAATCTGTTAAGTTCCTTTTTATTGTAACATACGATTGTCCTCTGTCCAGCATTACGTTGTTAACGCGAACATGACACGCAATTAATTTATACGGCGCAAAGTGTGTGAAGAAACAGTGTGCCTGTTGCACGACGAGAAAGAGAAAAAGAAGAAAAGACTCGCGTTGGCCTCCGTTTCGCGAAGAATCGTTTGATGATACGACCGATTATTCACAAAATGGCCGATACGTTTCTTTGTTCGTACCCTTTTTCGATGTGCAACACGGTCACGTAGGATCGCAATACTAGGTTCGTAAGTTTTAGATAGTAGAGATCGAATTAAAGGAAGAAGTAAAAAATAACGAGCTGGCTTCATATTGTGTATCTTGAATTTTTGCGTTACAACTAGCAATGTCTATCCGGCGTTGTTTCTTTTATTTTCCTTTTTCTGGCTTTTATTCGCTGAAAGTGAAACCGACAACACACCTTCGCTATAATTCATTTTCTCGTTGCACCGTATTTCTTCTTGGTTTCGCGCCTTCCTGGCAGAATTCTATCGCGAGGAACTTTAATAATATACGTATATACATACATATATATATATATTTTAACGTGATTTGCTCAGGACGACGGTGACGATACTGATTTCTCGTTCGACAGATTAACGAAAACAAGAAAAACCTACGTATAGCTAAAGAGAGAGAGAGAGAGGAAAGGACAGAAAGAAAGGACTTTGAGGAAATGTAACGACGATAATGGTAAAGACAAAAAATGTCGCATGTGCGGCAAAATCAAACGACGATATCGCGTATTTTTTTTAATTTACGGAATAGATTGTGTGGAGTATAAAAGGAGAGACACGAGGAAAAAGAAGACAAACGGGAGAAAGAGAGAAAGAAGGAAGGTTGAAGAAGTTAGCGAAGAGAAAACGAGTGTTTGTGAATGGAAAGATAGGCAAACTGACGATTCGAGATGTAATCGTGAAAGGAACAAAACGAACGGAAAAAAAAAAGGAAAAGAAAATTCGCCCAAATTGTGAAACAACAGTTAACCAAACAACCACAACCAACAACTTCTGTCCAATTAGAACAATACTAACGCTATCAATAATGAACATATTACTGTATGTAATATTTATTGAATATAAATAATAAACTCGCCTGCGTCGCGACGTTTTCTTGTCGCGAGAGAACCCGTTACAAACGAAGAATAAGAAAGAGAACAAGTATGAATGAATAAATGAGTAAATAAATAAAAAAACGCCTCTACTACAACGGAAAAAGGAAACGTCGCGAGCGAAGGTATCTCTGTCCATTTTTTGGTAATTCAAGATTATTAAAGATGAAAGAAAATTAAGACTCACAAATGTCACAGTGATGCTACATGCCTGCCTGGCATAGGATTAATAAAAAAAAAAAGCAATTTTTCTTTCTTCGTGTCAGACACGATGCGTTACCTTTTCTCTTTGTTTCTTCATTTTTCTCATTTATCGACGGTTCTCTTCTACTTTAACGTTTAACAATTTGTGAAATTTTTGGCGAAAACCGTGTTTAACTTACTATACACGCGTCTGTTGCAACGATTAAACAATTCTCTCGTAAACAGATCTACGTTTACGATATCGTGTATTTTTCTTATTTTATCTTTCTGTGTTTCTTCTTCTTTTCTTGTTTTTTTTTTTTCAAATTGCAGCGGAGCATCTAGCATTGACGGAGCTTACACAGCCTATTCCATCCCACGATAAGACAATGTCCATTTTTATCGTTATAATTATCTAATATGATAACCGTTCACAACTATACTTTGTACCCTAAACGGATTCTAGAATAATATTTTCGACCAATCGGTTTTACGAATGTCTCTGGAAGACTTCCGAGTTTAACATTACCCAAATGCCCCTTGTTCCAGGCAACAAAACTGCTTGCAAACAGCCCACAGACACAGATCTACACAACCACAACACACGGTCTAAGTTCCAAATGAAAGAGAGAAAAAAAAAAACGATAGGAAAAATAAAAGAGTTGAAAAGAACAAAAAAATTAAGTGAAACAAATGCGTCGTCGCACGGGTCCATTTTTTCGAGAGTATTGAAAGACAAGCGTAAAAT